CAGTAATTTCAGCTTCCCATGGAAACTTTTCGATAGGTGTTCATTGTTTTTAAGCACAGCTTGCGTCTTGAAATGGACCTCTTTAAGAAATTTTTTCTCCTGATCATTATGAAAAAGTGCAGCAGATCTTTTTTACACAATTTTTGCTTATATAAATTTTCCTTTATTTCTCCTCTTATGTTAGCCTATCATCTCGATGAAAGCTCATTTGACGTTGGTTGATATTTTGCTATATAACATTTTAATCATTAAAATAATGTATATAAAAATATTTTTGTTAAAATATATTTCAACCACTGTAAGCTTTAGATAATTTAAAAATGATAAATGTAATTGAGTTATCTAATACGAATGATTAGATATAGAAGGCAATTTAGAAATTGTTACTCTCACTGACTCTTTATGAAACCACTCTTAATTATTTAATTTTTCTTTTTATTGAAAGAATACCAACGATATTCAACATTGTTTCTTTTATTAGAGTATTTATGTATTATTTTATATTTGTAAATAAACGCTAATGCAATAAATTTTAAAATTTCAATAATAATAATAACAATCGCTTTAAAATTAAGTTTTGACTATTCTTAACACATCACACACATAATTATTTCTTATTTAAAAAATAGTCATTTTGTAAAAATTTTTCAACGTGCGCTTTTTTGTTTTTGCTCGAACTTGTGGCAGAATCTTTTTTTTTTTCCCCTCTCTGTATCCTCAATTGGAAACTCGTTTTATTTTTGAGTTATTTTCATAAGAACGTCTCAGAGACGCTGAGATTGCGCCTTTTCCTCTCTGATGTCACGGATATGTTAATATGGATCACGTGAGATGCGTACGTCACCTCTAAGGTCAAGGAAATATAATTTCAAGATGAAGAGAAAACTCTAAGGAAGGAATGACGGTTGTTTTTTTACAAAATTTTTGCACTTATGGAAAATATAGCATTCATTTCGATTTTATACCTATTTATGTTAATTATCCCAAGATGATAAGCGTGTTCCTAAAAGGGTATTGAAACATTTGGAACAGTACGATTAATAAAAACAAGGAAGTAATATCGATTACTTGAAATCTGGAATTATATCAAGCTTTTGGAGAATTAATTTTGATTTCAAATTTATTTCAGCTGTAGTGCAGAACACTTTTAAGTTTTTGAAAGCTAAAAAA